GTGGAAAACATGGTCTTCGTGTACTCTAAGGAGGAAATCGAAACCCAGAGTCGCCCTTCGCCTTTTGTGGGTTTGTTTTGCCAATTTTCAGGATATTATGTTCTCATAAGAAACAAATTTGTTGTCGCTATGAGAGTTCTCCGTATTCAGCGGTCAGAAGGCAAAATAGCCTATTTCCCATGTACGTGCTACTTATTTCGATGTATTCGACTTGGCGAATTGACCAAGCTACTACTGCTTGGACTTTCGTATACCGTAATGAATGAGCGTTTGGATAACCTTTTTATAGAAAAAAAAACTGTAGAACTGTGAAGCCGATGAGCAATGAAACCAGCTAATCTGGGAAGACAAAGAAACGATTGTCGTTTTTTTCTCTGTTCTGTGCTTTCCTTCCTCCATTGGGCCACGCCACAAAAGGCTTTCTCTTTCCTGAATGAGCCACGTTTGATAGTTGTACTTTAGCTGCTTATTACGCGACGCAAAATTATTTTACTAGCTACAATGGCAGTTCCTTTTCAATCTCTGAAAAGAGTCACATCCCTTTATCAAAACTTCACTGGTCAAGCTCTTTAACTCCGAGTGCTGATTTCCGTTAGATTTTTCCGTTTCAAGTTAGACTTGCTGTTTAGCAATTCCGACTAATCTATGCAGCTCTGGAACTTCGCATGCGAACGATGACCGTCTCTAAATCCGTTCTCGTACCGTCTTCTTGGTGGACCTGGATCTGCCATATGATTTCAAAATTTGCTGACGCCAGGCTCTCCTCCTTCTCTTTAGCCCGGCTTGGCCGGGCTGGCTGCTGCATTGGGAACCAAACTTTTTTCAATGACTGAGCTGCTCATGCTGTGCTGTAGTTGTCGAATTGTGACAGATAGAGCAACCCTGCGAATCCTGCACTACTTAGCACACGCTTATATTTGCAGGGAGTGGTTTGCGCCATAGCGCCCATACAGCACATAGATCTGTAGATATAGATAGAAAGTGCAGTCGGCGAACACAGTGCAATATGAATCGCTCAGTAGAAGAACAAATTCTGTTTCCATTACCTGCACCGAAATGCCTACCGATGAACGCTTCCCTTTTGAATTACCATGCAATCCGCTTCGCTGAAGTATAAATAATTGCAGGTGCTATACTCCCTTATCATTCGTTCTTATTCAGTAATCGAAAGTTTAAAAGTAAAAAAAAGCTATTGAACGCATGAAGTGTCACATTTTTGAGATTACTGGTTTCCCTCATATTTCTCTGATATTCCTGTTTCAGGCAAGCTACATACCCCTCCCCCCCCCCCTTCCTCCTTTCGGAACTCGGTCGTGTAGTGGGAAGAGATGTAATGATAATGGCCCCTTATCCTTTCTTATCAATTGATAAGATCCTGTCACCCGTCATCAATGTCCCTATCACTAAAACTCTATAATTTGGTAGTGTAAAGGCTCCAGCACTTTGACTGAACAACAACGGCAACGTTCCTTATCAGCCCCTATCAGCTGTTATCACTTCCTGTCACCCGCCGTCGCCGTCCCCACCTCCCCCTCTATATCATTTGCTGAAATCAACGCCTAGCTGATGCTGTGTCCCGCGTTATGAGTATGGCCTTCCCATTCTAACTCCCCTTATCAAATCTTATCAGCTGCTAGCAGTTCTTGTCACCCACCAATAATATTCCTGTGCCATAGCCTATATCATACCTTGGAACAAACGTCCACTGTTGCTGTGACCCGCGCTATGGACTCGGTGACCCTCCCCTTCTGACGCCTCTTATCAGCTGATATCACTCCCTGTCACCCATCAATAATGTTCCCGTCACAGCCCCTATATCACTGCTCGGAATCAACTTCCTACAGCAACTGGGACGGTCGCTATGAATTTCGTGACAGACACACAGACAGACAGTCATACTTAGCGAATTATATATAGTAGGATGTTCTTTACCCACTGGACCCGGTACTGTACCCGTCACCATTTCAACTTCGCCACAGCTTGAACACTGATGTTCGGTCGCTATTCGGCAACGGGGGATGGTGACATGTGTATGCGCTTCTACCGGGTCCTGATACGAATGATATGATCGTTCGTATCAGGGCCCGGTAGAAGCGCATACACCTCACGTTGATGACAAATGTTACTTTTAGTTTTTGTGGGGAGATAACTAGATCGGTGGATTGCAATAAAAATCCGCTCTCTCAAGTGAGCAACCCAAGATCGAAAAAATATCACACTGGGAATGGTGCAATTCTATCGCTCTAGTGCTCCTTCCCTTAGCCCTAGGCGACCCTTTATCCTGTAGCTGCCTAATCAACCTAGCATCTTTCATAACTGTGACAGAAGCCACCCAACACTCGTACAGCGCCGAAGTTCATATAGTAGCACTCAATGTGCACAGTCCCCGACATGCAATTTGTGCAGCTTCCAGTAGCACCCGTCCAGTCGTGGAACCCGTTGTGGAGCAACTGAGCTTGTCGCTTGGTACCAGGAGGTAGTCGGCCAGGTCCGTTCGAATGAGGCGGCAAAGAAAGACATTTTGCCTGCGGCACATATCAGTAAAGAATACGGATAAGCTCACGCGGTTGTCGAAGCTTGTTGGTCTTCCCAATTTGCTTCAAATGGCGAAGTGTAGTGTGATCGACGCTGAGCTTCTTGGGGACTCCGCATGATTT